ACTCTTGGTGTGCCTTCTGAACTCCTTCCCCTCCACGGCTGGGACTTTAAAATCAGGACTTTGAAGCTTAAGGATTCAGTGCTGCACTGCCAGTGTTATGCAGCAGAAAGAAAAACAGTTTATAGATGTCTGCAAACACCTGGCACATCCCCCAAATTCTCTCTCATTATAATTATTTTCCGGTACCAGGAATGTTGCAGTCTACTGGAATACTCACCCCAGTGAAGTCACACTAGATGTCTGACATATAAATCAAAGCCCCACATCTGTTGCCAAAATAAACCTGCCCAGCAAGAACAATGAAGAACTTCAGAGCATGGTGTAGCAATGGAAAATGACAACTAGTGTCTGCAAACCGCTCTCAGTGATTTCTGCTAATAACATCGGAGAGGATGGGATGCAGTTAAATGGAGTTGCGCTAGGATCAACAGGAGCTAAAATATAATAAAATATATATTTAAAAATATAATAGAACAAAACCATTAAGCCCCCATTATAAGGACAGGACATATTTCTCTACAGGCATCCACGTTGACAATCTTAGAAACTGACAATGTTCTCATAATGGTGTCTTCGGGGAACCCTGCTTCCTGGTAGACCAACCAGCAAAACCTTGTAAGCCACCAAGTTAATGCAGGCAGCCTTGTCTGCACAACTTTGCACATTGTTTTCATTTTATGTTGTTTTACAGCTCCAGGCAGGCAGCATCACTGGATTCATTAAGCCTTTCATGGGCAGCTGGCTTGGTCGAAAGTTGGGCAGGCCAATTCTAATGGAGCAATGGAGACAGATGGCACTAAATGTGAAATCTGAGTTAGAGTAGTCTGTCTAGGACATGCATTTATCTCTTAGTGGTTGTTTTATTGAATCTGCCCTGTTGGAGAAGTAATTGAGAATTAAAAATGGTGAAATATTATATATGAGGTTAATATAATTTGGCCGTGTTGATTACATTCCAGGGTTCTCATCACTGGAAAAGGGTTCTATAACTGAAAGCTGAAGGCTTAAGCAAACTGGGTCCCAGAGAATGGTTGAACAAAAGTGGCTGACAGAGGGAAACAGCCCTGTCTGTTTTCAGAGATGACCCTTTCAGTTCACGCTGTGGCCAATGCTAAACATGCTAAAATGTCAGAGCTGTGATTTGAACATACTGTTCTATGTAAACATGGGCCTCCTGACAGGGCGGCTTCTTACAATACACACTCTGTGCCCAAGAGGAAGCACACTTATCACACATGACTACCTTTATTGGCATCACAACAAAACAACATCTAGGATAGATTTTTTTATATTACTACTCAAGGCAATTTCCAGTTTATCTCATGATAGTCAAATGTCTCACCAAAAAGCTGGTTTTGGTAGCAGAAGTCAGTGTGTTTCATAGCTCCCAGAGCCTGTTTCTAACAGTCAAAGCTGAGATCATTGTAGGCAAAATATATTTTATTTAGATTCTCTCTCTCTCTCTCTCTCTCTCTCACACACACACACACACGTAATAACTCATATCAGTTCTGTGGACTGTTACTAGGTAATTTTTCTGTGAAATGAGAAAGGGGAAAGTACCTCCCTGAGTCACTGTTTTCTGAAAATCTAATTCATGGGATATCTTTTTACCCCAATACCACCTTGTGTGTTCCATTGTTTGGGACCAGAAAGCACTTTCGTCGCTAAATGCAGTTGATTTTTGTGAGGTTGTTTATAGAAATAAAATGGTAAGCGCTAAGTGATGGTACTTTGGAAACATTCTTTACTAATGTGCAGGTGACCATGTTCTAAAAGAAAAAAGTTGTAGAGCATATTCTGCCCCCCCATGTGCAACCAGGTTGCAGTTTCATCCCAGAAAATTGATGAATTATTAAGGAAAAAGAAACATCACTGAAATGCTTGATTTGACAGACACATGCTGTAGGGAGCAGTGGCTTTTTGCCAGTATGTAAATATGGACAGTTTGGTTCCTGACATCTCACTTTGTTAGAAGGTCACTGTAATTTGCTCTCTTCAGTTCATCCTTCAGAAGGTAGCATTTAATGAACTCTAATAGCTAGGTTTGAGTCCAGTAGCACCTTAGAGAGAGATCTGAAGAAGGAAGTTATAACTCTTGAAAGCTTATATCCCAAAAATCCTGTTGGTCTCTGATGCTACTGGACTTGAATCTAGTTGTGCTACTGCAGACCAATGTGGCTAAGCTCTGAAACTCTTTAGTCCTGAAACTCCTTAGTCCTTATGGGCCAAGCACCCATATTCTCTAGCTGTCGCTGTTTACCAGGGACAGTTCTATTTTCTGGTACCTAAGTTGTGCCTTCCCTGACCTGGGTGGCCCAGGCTAGCCCGATCTCATCAAATCTCAGAAGCTAAGCAGGGCTGGCACTGGTTAGTATTTGGATGGGAGACCATGAAGGGATACCAGGGTCATGATGCAGAGGCAGACAATGGCAAATCACCTCTGAATTCTGTTGTCCTGGAAACTCTGAGGGGTTGCCATATGTGGGCTGTGACTCGATGGCACTTTCCGCCACGAAATTGTACCTATTTTGTCTCAATTTTTACCTTTTGAGAATATCCAGTTATATTTTTTTAGTGTGATTTGATAAAGTAGTCATTTTTCAGACTTCAATTTCCTACCCAGGTATTCTTCAAGCTGAATTCCTGAATTGGCAGGCAGATGTGTCTTTTCTCCCATGCACATGCATGGAAATGCATACACATGAGCATTAAGGCAAACCTTCTGCCCTTCTAAGCTCCTTGCTTTCAATGGATGAGAAGGGTATACTTACGTAAGGCACCACTGTAAGCATGGCGACTGACCCCCAAGTTAGACGCCTGTATGCCTGCCTCTCCAAAATTTCTGCTATGCACAAACCTTACAGTTGCTTTTCACCCACAACTGAGATTGTTTTTATAGCTGCGAGAAAATGCTATCTTATTTCAGCAGTGGGAAAGGCAAAAATAAGATAAACAGCCAGTGTCAAACAAATAAAACAAACAGTTTTCAGCATTTCCTTTTGGCCAAATCACCTCCTTCTTTTTTATTAAAATAGCAGTTGAAGTATTACCATTCTCAAGGAACTGAATTTCATAGAATAGCAATGCTGAGTCAGCTCAGTGCTCACTGGCATTATAATCAGTAATAAGGCCACTTCCAAAATGAATCATAACCACTTGTGACATCAGCAGTTACCACTGTGGCCACGAATCGTTGGGTTTTCAAATGTGTAGGGTCATCAGAAATTGTTGGCTGCCTATCAAGGTACCATGTCAATAGCTATGACTTGCTGAGAGCTATTTTTGGTTCACTGCAGATGTCAAATTCACCTGTGTTCTGGTTACTTATGATCCTCTTATCAAAAACACTCCATTTCTTTTTGCATCAGTCACTCAAAACCAAACTATGCTAAGAGCATAAATGGAGCACTGGAAAATTATAGGAGGCACCATAAAGTAGATTTATTCATTACATTTTTGTCTATCCTGCAGGCATTTTATTGATTTTTTTAAAAAAAAAACATTTTGTTAGGTGAGAGGGTTTTTATAGTTGTTGGATGTTTTAATTGTGTTTTGTAAGCTGCCTTAATAAATGAATAGAATCTATACTGTGTAAAGTCTGCAGTAAAAAAACACACCCTAAAACTCATTGCATGAACTTCAGGACTTTTAAAATGATGACAATAACAATATCACTTCCGTGCAGAATTTTAGATACAATTGTTGCTCATCCCCACAAAAATTCTGTTCAAAGATTTTAGCAGATTCTTTACTAAAAACAACTGGGTTTAGAATATTAACAGTGCAATCTTAAACGATGTAATGTATAGCCTTCTAAGTCAATTGGTGTCAATGGCTTTAGAAGGGTGTAACTCTGTTTAGGATTGCACTGTAATAGTGCCATTCTAAAAACGCTTTCCTTGGACCAAACCTTATTGAATGGACCTGAGTATGATTCTGAGTAGACCTGGTACTATAAGGTGCTATGATCCTGAGTAGACCTGGCACTATGTATGTTTACTTGGAAGTTAGTCCCATTGAATTCAGTGGCAGTTTCTTCTGAGTAAACATGCATCAGATCAATCCCAGTACGCATTTGGAAGGCACATCGTGCAGTTGCCTTGCTGAAGGGAAGCGGATCTGGGCCTGTGGAGGAGACCTCCTGGGAACCCTGTGTACACGGAAGAAAGACAGAACATAATTTTAATTAATAAATCTGCATATATTTGTTCTGGTGGCTCTGAAGAGAGGCCTACAATCATGCAGTTCTGGTTCTGAGCCCTGGGAGTTCTGCTTACCCAACCCCCTCCAGTTTCTAAGATTTCACCAGGTCTTTCATACATGTTTTCAAACTGTCTTCCATAGCCGGAGGGTCTAGAATTTTGTTTTCTATTCTTAGCTGAAAGCAGACATTCTCCTGGCGCTGCATTTTGCTTTCTAGTGCTTACATGATATGAGTAAGTATACTTACACAGTATAGAAGAAACACGCTGCCTTGAAAGGATCTTTGATCTTTGGAAGGATCTTTGAAGCTAAGCAGAGTCCTCCCTGGCTAGTACTTGGATGGGAGACCTCCAAGGAATACCAGAGTTGTGACACAGAGGCAGGCAATGGCAAACCACTCTTGCCTTGAAAGCCCCATGGGGTCGCCGTAAGTCAGCTGTGACTTGACGGCACTTTCCACCACCACCGAGTAAATACACAGTATGGACTATAGGTCTCAAAGTGCAATCTGTTGGAAAGCTAAGCATGGCGAGCTGGGAAGCTCAACTGTAGATAACAGGACTACTGCTGAAAATGGCAGCCTTGAGTCATGTTCTCTTAACCTTTGGCTTCATTTCACTTGGTGTTGCTTGCTGGCATCAATACATGGTGTGGAATCACATCAGGAAAGTGAAGCCGTGCTTTAGGAGGAGACAGAAGATAATGTAATATGGGGATGCTCGCAGGGGTCGTTTCATAGAAAAAAAGCTAGGGGAACTCATTAGCATAACTCATTAGCATATGCCACACACCCTGACATCACCGGAAGTGTGTCATAAGGCCACACCCCCTGACATCACCGGAAGTGTGTCATAAGGCCACACACCCCGCCCCCAACGGTCCTGGCCGCCGCCGGCCTTGCGGCTCCACTGCCGAGCCCCATGAGTGGCCTGGCGGTGGACCTGCAAGGCCGGCAGGTGTGTGAGGAAGCCCCGTGAAGGCCCTCCCTGGCCCCAAGCAGGCAGGGGTGGGGAGAGGCAGGGAGGAAGCAACTTACCCTCCCTCTTCTCCTGCCTCCTCCTGGCTGAATGAGGGCCGGAAGCGGGGCGGCCGGAAGCAGGAGGCGGGACTTTGTCATGTACCTCACCCGGGGGAACTGCGATCCCCTGCATTCCCCCCCCCCGAAATGACCTCTGGGATGCTGTTTTAGGCAGTAGCCCTGTTCTTGCTGTACTGTGCAGCTTCATCCTAAAAGCAATTCCAACCGTCCAATCTGTGGCATCAGCACTGAACATTCCTGTGGTGTAGTAAGGTTGCCAGGTCCTCCCTGGCCACCAGCGGGGAATGGGGGGGGTAGGGTTGCCAGATCCAGGTTTGCTAGATCCAAGTTGAGAAACTCCTGGAGAGCCTGGGGATGACAGGGACCTCAGTGGGATAGAATGCAATAGAATTCATCCTCCAAAGCATCCATTTTCTGCAGGGGAACTAATTTCTGTAGTCTGGAGACGAGCTGTAATTCCAGGGGATCCCTAGGTCCCACCTGGAGGGCGGCATCCCTAGAATCAAGGCAAGACTGGATGTGGTACAGAAGACCTCTGATTAGGATCCTCTGGAGTAGGTATCAGCAACTTTTTGTACTTAAGGTGCCAAAATACATCAGATTTTCAGAGCAAGAGATCAACAAACCACTGGCATAAGAAAGCCCATATGCACAACTGAAACAGTACAGTTTAACATTACAGATGACTGATGAGTTGATTAATAATCTGCTGAGTTTCTGCCGTCCAATCGCTAGCTGTTGTGAGATCTCACAATAAGAAATAAATATACACAATACAGAACCAGTACAATTCCTTGAGTGCTCTGGCATAAATCTGCATGTCGTTCTTAAAAAGTACTGAGTGCGGAGGCTCAGCATGGTGAAATCAGCTCAAGTTTATTAGGTTACATCACAATGGAAGATAAACTAGCCGGTCCGAGGCTGGTTTATATGCGTGTCCATACTCACACCCAACACACCCCCAATTCCCGTGATAGGCTGCATTTACATGGCCCAAGTTTCTATAGGTCCCTTTCAGGATCCGGGCAAACCTATCGGTCCGCGCTAGGATCCGAGGTGGCTATTGTTCTCGGACCAAAGGTTTGTAGGTCTGCCAGACCGCATGGCCTGGCTAGCGTAGCCGTGGCCATCTTAATACATAACAGTTCTCATTTGGACTGCTGGGAACTGTTCACCTCAAGCATTAACTCTTCAAGGCATCTCAAGAAGCCCTTTAGTCCCATAAAAATCTTTGCCTGCCATTCCCTCCAGCATCCCATTTACCCCTCTAAAACACGTGAACTCATTTCCTGTTTAAAAGAGCCATATTTACTTCTGTACTGAGCAACATTTGGTTCTCGAGCCAAAGACTGTGGACCACCCCCACCACCCTGGTCTGGAGTTTTCTTTTTAGTAATTGGCAGCCCCGTGCAAACTCTTCTGAAGATGGGGGAAGGAGCATTACCAGAGAGGGTGTTTAACTCTTTCCTCCCAGGCCATCTCTCCAAAGCAAACTGCCCCCCCCCCAGTAGCAATTGGCTCCATAAAGAGAAAGAACTCTGTGCTTGTATTTTTCCCCTGCAGAGCAGCTTGGAGAAGCTGGGTTAGATCATGGAAGGAAGAATGGGAATCATGGAAGATCAGCACAGGAAGAACGAGTGCAATACCCTCTCTCCCATCACCACTTCCCTGATATTAAAAACAGCTATGTAGATCTGACAATTAGTATTAAACTATAGGGTATCCCATATCTCTTGTGCATCATGCGGTTGAGCCCTCCGTGTAGCACAATATCACAATACCAAATTGTATTGCTGGAATAGAAGCATACATTGGTCTGTCCTGCTACAGAAATGGCCATGGACCCTTCACAAATGGGATCCTGGCGTTGTTTCTTAAATCTGTCTCATCTCCTAATCCACACAGTTTTAAAAAACACAAAACCAAGCGTGATTCGGAAGAGTTCTTTGACTTTGTTTTGTTGTGACTGTTTTATTCTAACTTGCTCCTAATGGGTCGTAGATGGAGAATTCCATATTCTCTTGACTAATTTAAACTCTGTTTCTCAAAGGTTGCCGAGCAGCTAATGACTATTGCATATGACAGTGGAGTGAATCTGTTTGACACAGCCGAGGTGTATGCCGCTGGCAAGTAAGTATCTGGGCAGAAAAATAAGCCTTCAGTGCATATATGTGCATGAGTAACATTGCCCCTGGAATGGTCCGGCTGTGGCCAGTTTTGTCCCATGCATGCTAGGTAGCAACATGACAACTGTGAGGCACTTTGGCATAAACCATAATCACAGGATTGTGATCTGAAGTCTTTGGTAGCTAAGTCTCTTGATGTCAAAATCATGTCTATTCTTGATAAAGATCTATGTCTTTCTGAGATACCGTGTTTCCCCGAAAATAAGACACTGTCTTTTATTTATTTTTTCTCAAGAAGACACACTAGGGCTTATACCACAAATGCTTAGAAATCCTGCTAGGGCTTATTTTTGGGGTAGGTCTTATTTTCGGGAAAACAGGGTAATTTCCACCACTTGCTTATTTCACAGCTGAACATTCCAGTCTGTGTGAGCATTAACAAGCCTTATAAAAGAAGGGCGATGACAGATTAACATTTTAACAGTGTTTACAGCAAGTCCTTCTATTTGCTGTGTAATGCTAACTTTACAGCTTGCTTGTACATACTGAAAAATCAAATGCTGGTTCGGCTGTCATTCTTGTCCTCCCTTCATGCTTCAGGTTTCTTTTATTTAAAAAAAATAGTGTTGTGTTTGTGATTATATGTTTGTTCTGTGCCGTATTAAAGAAAAATTTCAAACAGCAAAACTGCTGGGATGGGAGAGGGTTAGGGTTAGGGTGGCGCAAAGTGCCATTGCCCTAATATTAGAAGTTGTATGTTGGCCCAAAAAGTTGATTTTGATATCCTGGGACCTGCTTTTAGAGAAAAAGAAATGGGAATGTTTCTGTCTTTAGCCATTTTTGGTTGTCTGTGCATTGGTTCCGGGGGGGGGGATATACAGCTGGTTCCCCAAATACAGAAAGTGAGGTGATTCTGCTGCCCTGGGTGGTCTGGACCCTACCTCAACCAAACAAATGCTCCCATATTGTCAAGCCTCGGCGTCTGAGAAGCCAGTATTTAGGTTCTGAGATTCATGTGGAGTTTCATACTGAGTATCCAATATGTGAGCGGTATACTGTTAGAGTGTTGCTCTAAAATTATGGAGACCAAATCCCCACTTAGCCATGAACTGCCATATGTGACTTTGGGCAAGTCACATACTGTCAGCCTAACCTTCCTCATAGGGGAGTTGTGAAGAAAAGGAGGGAATTATTTGTCTCAGTGAAGAAGTTCATGACAACTTTCCTCTCATCTTACAGGGTCTTCTTTCTTTGACTGAGATTCAGACTCTTACAAGTGGGAGGAAAATTTAAACCACCTGTTTGTTGATAACGGGTGGTTTTTGGAAATATGAATCATTTCATATCAAAATAATTTCATATAGATTACTAAATAGGGACCTGGGCCAGGTTTAGCTTTGTGTGGCCACCAATGCACACATCCCCTCCATTGAAGAGCTTACATTCCGGCCCCTGGATCCTATTGCAAACTTTAGTTTTCTTTACCTGCCTAATCCCAAATGGCTCTGTGCTCCAGCCTTGTTGTTAGTGACTGAAGTTTCTACCAAGTCTCACACACCAGTAGTCTTAGGACTCTTCTGTGGGCCCTCTTTGTACATGTGGGATTGGTTTCTTCTCTCAACAACACAGTTTTATTGGGTTCACTGTAGATCTTTTCCTAAGCCCTCTCATGTGTTTTGTGGTCAAATTAATTAGATGGCATTTTCTGACTAAACCAAGGCAGTGCTTTTGCTCTCTGAGAGTGCAGACTTTGTACTGACATTTGCAGAAGGGGGAGACGGCACAATTAAACAGAAGCAGCAGCCATTGACTCACAATTGGCTTAACAAGAGTGACAATTATGTTGCCTCTATTCCCTGGCTGAATTTCTGAACTACAGCCTATTGCCTCACAACAGCAACATGGAAATGGCATAACCTGATCCGTAAGGACATATTCAACTATGTCTTGCAAAGGCAAGAAAATGCCAGACTAGCATATGTTGATGGTGTCTTAAGGCCCTATCTCCTGATTGGGCATTACAATTGATCTCCAAATGACATAGATCAGTTCCTCTTGAGAAAATGGCTGCTTTGGAAGGTGGATTGTCTAATACTGTACCCCACCTAGGTCCCTTCCCTCGCCAAACCCCACTCCCCAGGCTCTACCTCCCAAATGTCCAGTTTCCCAACTCAGAGTTAGCAACCTACTACATGTGTACTGGGATGGAAATAGTGGTCCATTCAAGGTGACTTTCAAACACTTATCCTTATATGAAATTGTGCAGATAAGTAAAAACTTACTGTCATGAATGCAACAGTAAACCTTGATCAACAAGTTCAGTTTCTTACTTTTAAGTTCAAAACATTCATTATTTTTTTTAATCCACACAGAGCAGAAGTCATTTTGGGGAACATCATAAAAAAGAAGTGCTGGAGGTAATGTAAAGATTTAGCATTCAATTCTCAGCGTGCATTTTATAAGAACAATAGGTTCGTAAGTGTTCAGTTCAGTTGTCTTCGGGGCGGGAGAAGGAGGAGAAGGGGTGGTTGGTGATGCCAACGATCCAGTCATCGAAAAGCGGGCTGAAAGTGAGTGAGAGCGGGTGGAACAAAGGAAACCGACAGAAACATTCCACACGAGGAAAAAGCCTACTCAAAATCGGCTACCAGAAAAATGCTGGGTGAAGTAGGGTTGCCAGCCTCCAGGTGGGGCCTGGAGCTCTCCTGCTATCACAAGTGATCTCCAAACTACAGAGATCAGTTCCCCTGGAGAAAATGGCTGCTCTGGAGGGCATTGAAACCCTGCTGTGGTGTTGTACCCAGCTGAGGTCCCTCCCCCCCCAAACCCTGCCCTCCCCAGGTTCCACCCCCAAAACCTTCAGCTATTTACCCACTCAGAGCTGGCAACCCTGGGTAAAAGTGGTCTCAAAAGAGCTGGGGGGGGGGGTGAGAAGAAACAAACCCATAAAGAAAGAAGCAAAAACTAAAGGTACAAAAATGCTTTGGAAATCAGGGGATAAACCAAATTAGTATGGGGCCAGAAGCTACCAAAAAAAATAAACAGAAAAGCACAAAGAAAGGAATTTTTATCCTGCAGTTTTGTTTTGAAACAATATGACAACTGTAATGCATTCTGTTTTTGTTTGTTTGTTTTTAGGAGGTCGAGTCTGGTCATTACAACAAAACTCTACTGGGGAGGAAAGTAAGTTTATTCTCAGTTGTTCTGAAGCTATAAAGAAACCAGCTTTGCTTGGCAAAAAGCCCCCCCCCCCCCCCCCAAACAAACACACCAC